TAACAGGTATATTTATAGACCAAGTTCTTCAAAGGTAATTTCGCCACATTACTGCTGTTAGCCTACTCAATAACTAGATGAAATTCAAGCTCCTTCCATCTTCACTGACCCCAGTAAAACTATGACCCAAATTTAATGCCTTAATTCTATCTGTCCCAAACCCCAACCTCACTCAAAGTGAGAACTTGAAAAGACCTTAGCTTAAAAAGGCCAAGGTCTCCTACTGCATCCTGGGCCATATCCAGTTGTCCTGATCAATGTCCAAGATCAATATCTTGATCACTCTGAAGGAGAAAGTGAGGCTGGTGACTTTGCACAGCCCTCCTTTACTATAATCCAATTTAATTGCAAGTAATGTCATCATCTCCCTGATGTCATAGTTCTCCTGGAGAACAAACAGCAAAACATAACCACAACTCACTATAAATATTATTTTATTTTATAAATAAAATTTTCACTACATATTTCTGTACTAATGTAATTAATTTCTTTAATACTAAAATTTTATATCAAATTAGCTTCACAAATAATCTATATTATGGTTTACATTTTAGTGTAAAACAATTTGTCAAAATTTTGAACTAAACATTTTTCATATCTCACATTTTCCTATTCTACCTCAAAAATCTGACTCTCTCTCCCTATGCATAATTATACTAGTGATGGAGACTACATTTGTTTCCCAGGATCCTTAGTCTGCTCCATGCAAATTCAGTCAATAAGCATTTTTTAAACTGCTGCCTTCAGGCACCATTAAGTATTATGGAGACAAAGAAAAGGCAAAAACAGTCCCTGCCCTCAGGGAACTTATAGGCTACTAGTGGACACAACACTCTCACACACATAAAAACCAGTACCTTCAAGACTAAGAGTAAATGGAGGATAGGTAACCTTAGATGAGATGGTACTAACACCCAGGGAAACAGAAGAAGGCTTCCTACAGCAAGTAGAACTAGAGCTATCTTTTTTTGTTGTAGTTGTTAATTCTCAACTTAAAACACCAAATAAATGAGCATTTCTATGTACAGTGTAGGGTAGTGAATTGTACTTAAGAGTGGAAATATCTATAATGTAGAGCTTGTCAAGCTGAGTCTTAGAGTAAGCCAGAGATTCTCTTCCAACACTTTATCATCTTGCCCCCTTCTCAGACGTTAAGGATTATAGGAACATAGTTTCAGACGCGGAAGAGACCTCGGAGGTCATTCAGTCTAACCCTAGAGCATCTACTTTGTCTAAAAGTCAGTTTTTCCTAACATAGTACTGACCTTAGAACACTTCAAATGGCAACCCTCTGGTTATAGTCACCTATCACTTGGGTAACAGTTTTCTCCTACATCTTCCCAGTTTCAACTGTCCAATTGAGATAGTCATTATAGGTTCAAAGTCTAAGACCATGCATTCTTCTATCACATTCCCATCTTCCACATAACTTGAACAATGCTAGCCAAGAACTTAGTCAAGATTTCTGCGATACATGACTCCCTAGTGAGGCAAGAACCATATTAAAATGTAGTTGGGAGTAGCTAGGTGGTGCAGTGGATAGAGCACTGGCCCTGAAGTCAGGAGGACCTGAGTACAAATCCCACCTCAGACCAAACACTTGACACTTACTAGCTATGTGACCCTGGGCAAGTCACTTAACCCCAATTGCCTAAAAATAAATAAATAAATAAATAAAATAAATAAAAATAAAAAAATAAAATGTAATTGGGAAAAATTAAACAAAATAAGTTAAAATGCAATAAAACATAGATGACATTACATTTTAAAGTAAGTCAATATGCAGTCCAAAGTCATCCTCATGCATGGATTAGTAGCTCCAATTAATCTCAAATTTTTCAAACTCAGATTTCTATTTGAGTTTGACACCACTGGTCTAGGGAAGATAGATGGAAGCTGTCCTAAAACTATTTGAGATCATCCAAGTCCTTCCTCCTAACTCCACGTTATCCCCCCAATTTTTTCTCAGCTTATTTCTCTTGCCACACACAATTAGTAATCTCACTGATTATTTTTATGTAGGTGACTCTCACATCTATAAACCCAGCCCTCATATCTGAATTTCTATTCTGCCTACTGGACATTGCCACCTGGATGTGGGATATGCTTTTTCAAAATTAACATCTCAAAACAGAACTCATCTCTCCTCCTAGACCTGCCCTCCTGCTCCTTCATTCATTTTTTGTTGAAGGCATTTAACATATTTTTAGTGTCCCAGGTTCAAAACCCTTAGTCAACCTGCAGTCTTCAGTCTTCCTCATCCTTTATATCCAATAAGTTGCCAAGGCTTCTTTACCCTACCCTCCGCAGTATCTCACAGCCATCATTTTCTCTCCATTCAAGTGACTTTCACCCTCTTTCAGTCCATCATTTCTCAGCAGAACTACTGCCACAGACTGCTACTGGCCCAGTGGATAGAGCACTGGGCCTAGAGTCAGGAAGATCAGAGTTCAAATCTGCCCTCAGATATTTACTAGCCATGAGACCCTGGGCAAGTCAATTAACCTGTTTGCCTCAATTTCCTCAATCCCCTAAAATGGGAATAACAATACCACTTACCTCCCAGGGTTGTTGTGAGGATCAAATAGATATTAGCAACATGCTTATCACAGTATTGGGCACACAGTAGGTGCTTAACAAATGCTTATTTCCTTCCTAATTGGCCTCAGCGCTTCTATCCAATGATATTCCTGGAGCACAGTATTCCTGATCAAGAAATTCCAGTGGCTCCCTATTGCCTCTAGGACAAAATATAAATTCCTTGGTTTGGCCTCCACACTTTTCAAAATTTGATTTCAGTGTACTTTTCCAGACATGTTTTGCATTGTTCCCCACTCACTTCATGTTTCAACCCAAATGGCTGATTTGCCGTTCTCTATAAATTGAGTGCGATACTCCAGAAGTGGTATGAGCCGGGACCTCTTGTGCTTTGTAGAAGGAGAATCATTCAAGCTTTAAACTTTAGCTTAAAAAGCATGTGAATTAGCTCCAGAATATTGAACAATGACCCCCCAAAAGGTATTGATTCTTTTTCCCTGGCGGAGTAGTTGCTATCAAGGGCCCATTTCACAAGAGCAGTGAAGAGGGAAGACAGTACAAACACAACCTAGTTGCTGGAGATCAACACGTCTTTAAACTCCTGCCATACAAGCCCATAATTTGACAGTATTCATTCATCCCCAAGTGACAGTTAGATTTAGCCATTTCTAAGACCCATACTTTGAAAAATGTGGAGTTTCATTTTTCTGCCCATTTCCATCCCCATTCCTTCCTTCCCATTGTCTAGGCAGGACAAATTTATCTTCCTCTCCTATCTCCACCAAAAACAAAACCACAGCCAAAATTTTTTACCAAGTTAAACACATGGAGTGTGGAGAAGGGCAGGAATGACATTCAGGTCTGGATGCCAAATTTTAAGAAAAATACTGACAAATTGGAGTTTATCCAGAACTGTGAAAGGTACTAGTTAGTGAGAAAATCATGCAACGTTAGGAAAAAAAAGTTAAGTAGGAGCCGGAGGAGAAGAGGGGGAGGGAATACACAGCTGTCTCCAAAGTTTTGTAGGAGCCTCCTCTCCAAGAGGAGGTCAGAACTAGAACCAACTGATGTCTTTACTTGGATATTTCAATTTATTGTTGTTCAATTGTTGTTACTTCAATTTGGCAAAGAAGAAATTTTCAGACAGCTGGCTATCTAGAAAGTGGAGTGCCTCCCAAGAGAGTGAGCATCACCTAGTTTGTTATCTTGTTCAGACAGCAAGCCTTAGCTGCTTCTAGAATGTAGAAAGGATACCCAGTTAGGGAAGGACTCATAATAGGAATATTTTGGACAAAGATGGGATGCTTAGTTTCTTCCTCTTACAAATAAACACACACATATCCATTTTCTACCAGTTTGAGCTCTCCTTTCTCCATTTCTTCCTCCCCAACCTCCCATCTCCATCACAAAAGGAGCCCGCAAGCATCCCCTTGGCACAAAATAGCCAGAAAAGGCTGCGTCCTGGTTTCTCTTCCCTAAAAACAGAGGCTCCCTGGAGGTGGCCAAAGACTAGTGTCTTCCAAATAGGCAGACCCATTTGGTGCTGTACACCTAGTGCCCAGCCAGCCAATGTGGCCCTCAGACATTGTTTCAGCTTTTGAGGGAAGGGAATTAGATGCTAGGGCCCCAGTCTAAACCTCAGTGACCTCTTGGGACTCATTCTTTCCCTATGTCCTATTCCGTGTGCTCTGGTATCTTGTTTTTCCATCCCACCTCCCTTACTACCCAACCTACCACAGACTTAGGACTGTGAGGACTTCTGGGGCTGGCCGGTTCTAGTAGAGAATAGAGGTAGAGAATGTGTCCACTAGTCTGGGGCTGAGCTCTGACTTGGCACTCAGCTGAGCCCTCCGTTTCAACTTCATATACCCAAGGGGGTTCGCTGTTACTGGGGGTGGAGGGTGGGGAACGGTCGCTGCTACTCGGAGTGAGCTGTGAGTAGTGGACTTGCTACACTCGAGCGGGGGAGGAAGAGGTTCTCCCAGCTACTCTGAGGGGTCTCACTGCTACTGTGGTGGGCTCGTTTCTACTCTGGGAGCTTTGAGTAATGGTCTCGCTGCTACCCAGGGGAGGTTTGGTGCTGTGGGAGGAGGTCGCTGCTACTCAGAGGGGGCTCCGTGCCACTTAGGGAAAATCTCAATGCTGGGAGGCAGGAAGGGGAGCTCCAGGCTACTCGAAGGAGGCTTGCTGCTACTCCAGGAGAACTTAGGTGCTTTGGGGGAGGTAGGCTCACTTCGCGGGGTGGGGAGAGCTTGCTGCTACCCTGGGGCCCGCTTCCACCCCCAACTCCTGCTACCCTGCGCTCTTCAGCCTCCGGAAGTCTAAGAGCTCTCTTAGCTCACCCGCTAGGTCCTAAGGTCTTTTAGACAGTAGGCATTCTGCAGTAGCGAAGGGAAACTTGGGCAAAAGTGGAGCAAAACTTTTGATTCTGACCCGCCAAGTTTCTATCCCCTCTCACTTACCCATGGTGATAGGTTGGAGCGCGTCTACGGGACTGCAAAGCCAGAGGAACTGTGAAGACTTTTTGTCTTTGGTTGTTTTTTTTTTTTTCTTCCTCCTTTATAAAGGTGTTGCTCCAAGCCCAGCTCAGCTACCTGGCCAGCTGGAATAGTTAGAGGGCTGGGGCGGGCCGGGACTCCACCCTCCAGGTGGGGGAAGGTAGCAGTAAGATTTGAAGCTCCGTATGCTAGGGGTGTCCCAGAGAGCCCGGGGACCAATTTCCTAATAACAGGTGTGAGAAGGGCAGCTGTAGCATCTATAGGGAAGCTCAAAGCAAAGGGAGATATTAAGGAACCATACGCCCAGCCCTGGGAGTTGTACCTCGAGAGGCAAGAGGAGAACGAATGAGAAATTCGAAAAGGACAGGTTGGGAAATCGAGCTGGTTTTCCCTTGTTTGACCACAAGCGGGTTAGGCTCAACACAGGTGGCAAGGAGAATGGAGATGTGTCACATTCACCTGTGAGTCTTGGCCTTCTGCACCTTCCGCACCTCCACTTTAGATGCCTCTCTCGCCTACACCTGAAACTTGTTAGGGGTTCTGAAGGGTTGACTTGTCACAAAGATTCCCAGCCCTGATTAGGCAACGTAAATCTGGGACAGAAGGGCCTCCTGTCTCCACCTTTCTTCACCTTCAAGGGTGTGGTGATCACGTGAAGTCGTGGCATACATTTTTCTTAAATGGCAGCTGCTCACGTTAGCCAAGGGCTTGAGGGCTTGAGCAGAAGTATGGGATCTACTGAGAGATAACCAAAATTAACTTCTGGAAAGAAAAGAAGAATGTTTCATAGTTATTACTTTAAACTAAAGCAGAAACCACAGGTAGAAAAGTCAAGTTTGTGATATTTTATCTTGATCAATGTTTTCTCTATTTGGAATTTCTCTTTTTTGCAATTCTCATGCACCTTTGACTTCCATGTAATTAGAAACACTACTCTGTTGCTTCCACAAGGAATGGAGTTTTCATCAGATTCAGACAAGAATCATACCTTTAATCGGAAGAATTGAATGACTTTTTTTTGTGTATGTGTGTGCCTATATTGTTGCCCTTGAGATAGAGTCTCATTTATTATTGCTTTAAGGGAAAAAATAAGCTTTCCCAAGGCGAAGTATTGAGAGAACACACACACAAAAAAAAAAAAAATGAGGGGGGAGAGAGAACACATCAAGATTCTATGGGATACTAGATGGTTTTGAAAACTCTGGGATTCCCTAAGGTCTCCTGAGATACTCCTGATTTCCAGACACAGGCATTTTTCTTTGGGAATGTCAGGGACTATATTGGCATAGCTGGTACAGTTGGAAAACTTGACTGTGACTTTCCCTGCCCTTAAAGCAGGAGAGACACAATTACTTTGTAAACCTTATTAAAGTAGTATTCTGTTCACAGAATATAAATTAGTCATTTATTAAGCATCTCTAGAACTGTGTTGGATGCTGGGGGTACAAAGGAGAAAAAAAGGAAAGTCTGCTATTAAGAAACTTTCTGTGTTGTCTTCCTTTATCTCCCAGCTGAATCCCTGACTATTCTTTAAAATCCAATTCAAATGCCATCTCCTCCAGGAGGTCTTCCTTGATTTCTCCTGGGCCTCACATAGGACCTCTCAAAAGCACTTTTCATGTAATTTTTTTTTGTATCCGTAAGGTTTTCCCCTTTATTTTAGGGTCCCTGAAATAGCCAACACAGGTTTAAGGTATTTTGTGGATCTTACATGCATTTGAAACCATAGTTCACAATCACTTTTTCACTAGCAATTTTGTTGGTATTGTTCAGTCATTTCAGTCATGTCTGACTCTTCATGACCTCATTTTTGGTGGGGTTTTTTGTTTTTGGTTTTTTTTTGGCAAAGATACTGGAGCGGCTTGCCATTTCCTTCTCCAGCTCATTTTACAGATGAGGAATCGAGGCAAACGGGGTTAAGTGACTTGCCCAGGGTCACACAGCTAGTTCCTGAATTCATGAAGATGACTCTTCCTGATTCTAAACCCTGTGCTCTATCCATTGTGCCACCTTGTTGCCCCTTTTTTCACTAGTAAACAGAGGACACAATTATTGCAAAGTTAATTTAATGAAAAAATATAAGAAAAGTTTTAATAGAACATTCCTCCCCATAAATCTAGGGCACACTCTCACAAATAAACACACTATTAGTGGGGAAAGTGTGCATGCATAGGCATTGGTGTGGCAAGCGTACGTGCACATAGAGCAATCCATGCCTGCGATGCTGATCTTCTGATGTCATCAAACTCCTCCCATTGGGGATGTTATCTCCCCTGATCTCATGCTGATCTCATGGTGAGTTCTGGGTCTTGTGGTAGCTGCTGGGTACCGTAGTCTTAGCAAGGTGAGGCGTGATTTCTTGCCACCAGGTTCTAGGATCATGGCTTTAGGGTCACCCACTGTCCTTAAGCTCATTGATTAGAGTTCAGTGACTATAATCTCTCCATGATAAAGTCAATCTTATAAATATTTATTGGCCACTATATTATCTAATAAAGGCTAGGCATATTGTCCCTACGCTAAGATTGATTTCTTTTCAAACCCTAAATTTGAGAACTTTAGTACTCCATTCCAGATAATTATCTAACTCAGGATTAGACATTACAAATTCCTTTATGGTTTGGCATGCAAATAGATATGTGCCACAACCAAAGGTAAGCTAAGGTGGCAAAAACCCTGTTCTCCACTCACATGCGTTTCTGCCTTTATTTACCATATTTGTCTGAAGCAGTACTGTATTTGGCCAAGGAAAACCTTAGCTGTCCCTCTCTAGTCTTCCCCCAGGTAAAGAATTTGCAGTCCTGGGAAATTATACAGATTACACATGAACATCTGTAAATACACATCATAAGCAAAATAATTATACGTAATTGCTAATGGTTAGTGATGAATACAGTGTTTACTTGGAACAGTGACTTGTGAAGAATCTCTCTTTATAAGTCAAGTCAATAAGCATTTAAGTGTTTACTATATGCCAAGTTGGAGGTAAAAATAAAGGCAAAAATAGTCCCTGCTCTTAAAGAGCTTACAATCTAATGGCAGAAATAACATTGCAAACTACTATGTACAAACAATATATATTCAAGATAAATTGGAGATGATCTCAGAGAGAAGGGAGTAGTAGTATTAAATGGGATGAGATAGGCTCTTGCAAAAGGGAGGACTTAAGTAAGTCTTGAAGGAAACTTGGAGTAGAGATAAGGAGGGTAAGAATTCCAGGCCTGAGGGAGAGTCAGTGAAAATGTGGAGAACTAGCAACCATAGTTATTTATTGTTTACTTATAAGTTACTGTGTATTAAGAAGATAAATAAACAAACCAGCCTCCTGGAGCAAGTTGTCCACAAATGTTTTTAAACAAAAACATCTTTCCCTTCATCTCTTTGCCTCAGTTCTCCTAAGGTACAATGAGGTTTTTAAGAAAATGAATTTTCCCATACAGGGAGATGGAGGAGAAATTTTAAATAAAACAACTTTAGTTGCTATAGAAATGCTAATAGTTTAGAATCAAATTCTGCAGCAACCAATTTGAGAATCAAGAAGCATTTTGAAAAATCTAGTTTGGAGACTTACCCACAAAACATATTGTTGTTCAGAAAAAAAATGGTCATAGGAAGGAGGTCAGACCAGTCGTCCTGATAGATATCTGGCCACTGAACCCAGATGGCTCTGCAGGAGAAAGTGAGGCTGGTGACTTTGCACAGCCCTCCCTCACTCAAACCAAACTCAATTGCAAGTCATTGCATCATCTCCCTGATATCCCGGTCCTCTTCGAGAACAAAGGACAAACCACAATCACAACTAGACCGGTTTAAGTCTGGTCACAAGTTACCTTTGGACTGAGAGCTGGTATGCAAAATTTGAATGGCAAAAAAAAAAAAGTTTACAAAATTGAGCAACTGAAATCAAGGTGGTCACATGAGAGAAGTTCTCTGAGAGTGATATGCTTTGTGTCATGCAGTCCTTTTTGTAGCCCTGTAGGTCAAAGAGGGTAAGAAGAGAGTTGGTGTATATTACAGAGAGGAAGAACAAGCACACCTAGACTGGTTCATGTTGCTAATTGGCAAATTTTGCCTTCAAATGTACTGCATTTGTTCTTCTTAAGTATTCTTTTATTCCTAGTTTTATTGTCTCTCCTTCTTATATGAAGGCAATTGCTTTGGAATCCATTCTGCTAAGGATATGTGTGAGGAGACAGTGGATTCATAGACACTTATAATTGGAAGGAACTTCAGAACTTATCTAGACCAACTTGCTATTTACAACTTCTTGAATGATCCTATACCAGAAGACCAGAAGTAATGGGGAAATCCCTATATTTTGAAGCATTCTTTTTCACTGATTGACAGCCTTAGTATATATCCCCCCCACTCCCATATCTGACATCCAGTTGAAATCTGCCTCTCTGAAATTTCTGTCCTTTGGACCTAGTTTTGCCTTCTAGGTCCAAACAAGACAAAAATAATAGTTCTACACAAATACTTGAAGACAAATATCAAATTTCCCTTTGTCTTTTCTTCTCTAAACGAGACTTCTCCAATAGCTTTAACCAAACCTCATTAGGTATGAATTATTTTTTTTACATTAAAAAAAATTTTAATTAATTTAAGACTTAAAGATACTCTGTGGTTCTACACTTCCAAATGATATAGTTCATGAGCCCCCAACTAGTGTCCTTACCTTTGATAGATGGCCAGTAGACAAAATTAGCTCAGAGTAAAATCATTTACTGAGACCATATGGTAAGTAGCTACAAAGCATTCCCCCCCAACAGACTTGATCCCACAAATATACTCGATGGTACTTAGAAGAGTAGGTTGCTTTCATAATGAAACACACATGTAGGGATCACATGTGACCAAGGAAAGTCATTTTCCCTGGGAACAGAGAGCTCCAATGGCCTTGTTTTCAAGGTCACCCATGCTTGAGAATCAAGACCTCACTTTGTGGTGACCTCACTTTGCTTTTCACACAGAGCTGCATTTCCTCTGGGTAGTTTTCTCAGCTGGGCTTCCTGAGCCTGCCTTCCTCTGCAACTGGACTCCTAACTACCAGGAGTCAGTC